CTGACCCGACGCAGCTACCTGACCAGACGCAGTGACTGGAGGAGACGCAGTGGTCAGTGTGTACAGGCTCGACCCCGGCCGACGTGTGAACGTGGCCAGGTGTCGGCCTGTCCGAGCGTCCGTGCAGTGGGTCACCCACTGACTCGCAGGAGTGAACTGGTGAACCCCTGCATCCTGTAGGTCAGCACCACTCACCAAGTTCGTAGAGAACGAGGGGAGGTAAAGACCAGACAGGGTGCCAGAGGGGGCCGCCGGACACGGGAGGACAGTGGAGAAGTGAGCAAGGACAGGACCCCCAGAGGGGTCTGCCAGGGAGACCGCAACCGGCCGACTGAGCGGCGTAAGCGTGGTGCGGTCTCGAAAGAAGGAGCGGGAAGCACCCGAGTCAAGAGTGAAGGTGTGTAAGGCCTGAGACGACGTGGTACCTGAGAGAGCAGACTCACCAGCACCTGGGGCAGCAGACGCACTAGCACCTAGAGCAGCAGCCTCACCAGCACCTAGAGCAGCAGCCTCAATGCCCGGGTCAGGCGGAACACACAGGTAACAGTCAGCCTCATCACTAGTAGGCAATGCATACATGGCAGTGAGGATAGCATCATAGTCAAGAGTATAGATATCTACCCGTAGCCGAAGCAGCTCCACCCAGTCGGGGAGCTCAGCCGCGTCGCCAAACTCCGTACGCCAGGCGTCGCTCAGACGGGCGAAGCAGCGGGACTCTGCGTGACCCAACGTCCCGCAAGGCTGACCAGTCCGAGCACCAGTGCGAATGACGTACGGACAGCGAGCAGTACCCCGTGACCCGTCACGCTGAGCGTACCACTCACGAAGCTGCTGGGGCGAAAGGACTGCTCGCGGACGACGCTGAAGCTGCACCTGGCCACTACAAGCAGCTGCCGAACTACTCACTCCAGGACGACTCCCACTACGGCCACCCCGACAACCCCAACTAGCGTACCACTCACGAAGCTGTTGGGGGGTGAGGGACTCACGCGGGCGACGCTGCAGCTGCACCTGGCCACTACAAGCAGCTGTGGAACTACTCACTCTAGGACGACTCCCACTACGGCCACCCCGACAACCCCAACTAGCGTACCACGCACGAAGCTGTTGGGGGGTGAGGGACTCACGCGGGCGACGCTGGAGCTGCATCTGGCCACGCCAGGAGCAGCAGTAGCAGTAGAAAGAGCAGCAGCAGGAAGAGCAGCAGTAACAGCAGTACGGGCAGGGCAGTGCTCACCAGTGGCGAGAAGGGCAGGCGTACGACGGCGGCAACGGCGAGGCCGCTACTACTGTAGAGCGAGAGCTCCGCGGCAGCTGCAGGGGTGGCTGCTCCAGGGGCGGCAGTTGTAGGGGCGACTGCTCCAGAGGCTGCTGCTCCAGGGGCGGCTGCTGCAGTGGCGGCTGCTCCGGGGGCGGCTGCTGCAGTGGCGGCTGCTCCAGGGGCGGCTGCTGCAGTGGCGGCTGCTCCGGGGGCGGCTGCTGCAGTGGCGGCTGCTCCAGGGGCGGCTGCTGCAGTGGCGGCTGCTCCGGGGGCGGCTGCTGCAGTGGCGGCTGCTCAGGGGCGGCTGCTGCAGTGGCTGCAGTGGCGGCTGCTCCGGGGGCGGCTGCTGCAGTGGCGGCTGCTCAGGGGCGGCTGCTGCAGTGGCGGCTGCTCCGGGGGCGGCTGCTGCAGTGGCGGCTGCTCCGGGGGCGGCTGCTGCAGTGGCGGCTGCTCCAGGGGCGGCTGCTGCAGTGGCGGCTGCTCCAGGGGCGGCTGCTGCAGTGGCGGCTGCTCCAGGGGCGGCTGCTGCAGTGGTGGCTGCTCCAGGGGCGGCTCGGCTGCTGGGCGACTCGGCGGCTCAGCTGCTGGGCGGCTCGGCGGCTCGGCTGCTCGCTAGGGGCGGCGACGGGGCCGGGTAGGGGCAGCGACGGGGCCGCTAGGGGCGGGGAGCGGCGACGGGGCCGCTAGGGGCGGCGACGGGGCCGCGTAGGGGCGGCTACGAGGCCGCGTAGGGGCGGCGACGGGGCCGCGTAGGGAGGGAAGCGGCGACGGGGCCGCTAGGGGCGGCGACGGGGCCGCGTAGGGGCGGCTACGAGGCCGCGTAGGGGCGGCGACGGGGCCGCGTAGGGAGGGAGGCGGCGACGGGGCCGCTAGGGGCGGCGACGGGGCCGCGTAGGGGCGGCGACAGGGCCGCGTAGGGAGGGAGGAGGCGACGGGGCCGTTAGGGGCAGCGACGGGGCCGCGTAGGGGCGGCGACGGGGCCGCTAGGGGCGGCGACGGGGCCGCGTAGGGGCGGCGACGGGGCCGCGTAGGGAGGGGAGCGGCGACGGGGCCGCTAGGGGCGGCGACGGGGCCGCGTAAGGGCGGCGACGGGGCCGCGTAGGGGCGGCTACGGGGCCGCGTAGGGAGGGGAGCGGCGACGGGGCCGCTAGGGGCGGCGACGGGGCCGCTTAGGGGCGGCGACGGGGCCGCTAGGGGCGGCGACGGGGCCGCGTAGGGGGGGAGGCGGCAACGGGGCCGCTAAGGGCGGCGACAGGGCCGCTAGGGGCGGCTACGGGGCCGCGTAGGGGCGGCAATGGGGCCGCTAGGGGCAGCAAGGGGCCTGGAAGGGCGGCAACGGGGCCGCTAGGGGCGGCGACGGGGCCGCTAAGGGTGGCGCGAAGGGCCGTGAGAGGGGCCTCTAAGAGAGCTCGACAGAAGGGCGGCCCACAAGGCGCGCCTCGGGCAGGAGCGACTGTCGCTCCGGTCAGAAAAAAAAGGTTTCAGTGGTGGGCCCAAGGAAGCGTTCCCACTAGGGAACCTGCTCTATACCATGAAAAGAAATGAGGAATGAATTGACTAAGGGAAAGTTGGGTACAAAAGCAATCCCTAGAAAACTGTACCCCATATGTGCTACCCCACTATAGCCTACAGTAGCTATGTCATATAAATCTGACATTATCCTAACCGGGCTGACCCAAAATAAAAAAACCCACTCTATACGACCTACGTCACTACGTCGAGGACGCCAATGTTCTGCCAGTGGGCCAAGCAGGCTTAAAAGACTACGCTGGTGGACTAACAGGTGCTGGATGAAAAGATCTCAAAGAGCTTGCGGAGCATGAAATGCAAATGAAAAGAAGCAAATGAGCACGAAAACATCCATTCATACCCATCCACCACACACAGAAGCCCGTGTCCAGATCTGGTCATCCAACCCTGGGCTGGATGATTCTCCCGCCAAAAAAAAAAAAAAACAACTGGGAGAAAGTTCCCTACTCGACGCTTATTGGCTCTTGCAGCCTTGGGACTCTGACAACAACTGTTGCCATGACCACGTGTGCAGAACACCTACACTTGGTAAACAATGACTATAAAACACAATGAGCAAACGTAGGATGCTACACTTGTACTCATGTTATTCATAAAACACATAAGATCAATGGTATAAAGGAACACACCTGCTGCAGCTTTAAGGTGGCAGCAAAAAAAAAAACCGAGTTAAAGCATATAACGACGCAGAGAAGACCAGTTGGTCGCAACCGGCCATGCGACCGGCGGTCGTCACTTGTCGGCCAAAGAGTTACGATGGCGAAAAATGTCATTCGCGACAAACATCACTGGCACAAAGGGTCACGGGCAGGTTGGTTGGAACACATTTTTCACGGTCAGGTGGGCGCGGAATTGTGAGCGGCTGGCCTTGTCGTAAGCGGCGGAGCCTTGCGCCCAAGCCCTTCGGAATCCGGAGCACACGGATCCAAGGCCTCGGATCATGGGGCAAACGCACTCGGAACTCCGCCACAACGTTATCAGAGTCCCCAAAAAACAAGTCTATCTCTGTTGCTCCCCCCAACCAACTCAAGGCACAAATTTCCCCTCTCCCCCCACAATTCATGCACGTATTGACAACACAACACGTTTGCAGGGACATTTTCGTCTTCGTGCTTGCTGCTGCTACATTCGTCCGCTGGGGCTGCTGCTACCGTCCACCTGAGTGGCTGTACAGATTCATGCGCTTCTCGCTAGCTTCGCCGTGACTCGGACGCGGCACGCGTAGTTAGTCTGTACCCAACTCTACTAATACGCGTAGCTCGCCCCACCGGCCGCTATGTTAAGGTGAGCTGCCAAAGAAAGGCGACGATGGGACTTACCGCGCCATGCGCGTCGTCTCCCACATACGCGCCGTATCCCACATGCGCGCCGTATCCCACATGCGCGCCGTATCCCATGTGCATCGCATCCTCTCCTTTAGTCTCTTCCTGTCTCGAAGCCACATCAATACTACGTTGTTAAAGATGAAGTCACTGAAAGGGCCTCGACAGGAAATCCCTGCGTTAGTCTCCTTCGTTACTCGGCGCTCCATCTTCCCGCCCATCCCTCTTCCCCTCACCCCCCGCTCCCCCTTGTTCCCCCCCCTTCCCTATTCCTCTTCGCCATACGGGCTAACATCTCCGCGGCTCAGCTGGTGGTCAGTTCCTGCCCGCGCCAATCCTCCCGCGCGGGACCCTGCGCCCCCACCCAATGCGCCTGCAGCGGCGCCGGCGGAAGGTGCTGAGAAGAGCGACCCTTCCCCTATTCAGGTAGCTTTCTTTCTACTATCTCCCCCCCGCACAGCAACACACAGACCCGCGTACACACCCTCGCACCCATCCATGCACCCACCGACCACCCACCCGTCCTTCCACCTCGCCGCCTCACGTTTGCCTGGTTGGATGCACGGAAATTTACATGTAATACATTACTTTCTGTTGGTGAATTTGTTTGTGAGGGATGCATTTATGCATGTGCGTATGTCTGCATGTGTGCATCTGGGCATGTGTGTGTGCATGGGATGTGTGCATTTGGGCATGTGTGCATGTGGGCATGTGTGCATGTGGGTACGCATGCATGTGTCAGAATGGCATTCTAGAAGCGACCCCTGCAGCCGAGCACGTGGCAGCAGGCGCAGCGACCACTGACCCGCCACCAGCAGCAGCAGCACCAGTCAGTGTGGGGGAGGACGAGAAGCAAGAGGCGAAGAAGGGAGGCGGAGACACAGACAATGCCCACACCATCCCGCCGCCCAAAAGTTAATTCCTGTCCATCCCCCTCTGCTTCATCCCTCTCATCTTTCCCACCCGCATGTCTCCCGTTGTTCATATGCCGTTTTCCCTTGCCATCCCTCGTTTCCCTTTACTGCCCCTCTCTCCCGTCTCGCCCGTATGTGCTCTCGTCCATGGGACTCCCCGCATGTCATGCTCGTCAACCACACTGCTCCCCATCCTTACTGCTCCTCGTTCCCTCCACCCCCCATTCCTCGTCCCCTGCAGCAGCTGCAGACGCCCCTCCCCCATCTGCGGCCCGCCAGTCGCCTCTCCGCTGGTCCCTCCCAGGCACTACCCCTCCCCCCTCCTTCTCTCTCGCTTCCTCCACTCTCCCTTCCTCTGCTCCCCCCTCCTCCTCTCTCCCCTCCTCCTCTCTCCCCGACTCCTCAACCTGTTCCTCCACTCATGAAAGTGTAGCCACCCCTACAAATGCTCCTACCGCTGCTCCCACCACTGCTCCCACCACTGCTCCTACCACTGGCCCCACCGCTGCTATCGCCACCGTTCCTACCGCTGCTGCTGCTTCCTCTGCTGCTACAGGGTCTACCACGCACTCTTCTGACCACGTGGTTCTCCCTGTGCCCTCCGCACAGCCAGCTATCTCACCACGTGCTGCTCGCACTGCTGATGCGGCTGCTGCTGCCGATGCTGCTGCTGCGGGCGCCGCTGGTGGAGCTGGTGCGGGCAGCAGTGATGGTGTAGGAGCGGACATGGATCCAGAAGCACAAGACTCACTGCGACAGCCTCTGCTGCAAGGTGAGCTGCTCTGCTCCCAACATGTATTGCTGTAGTGTCAGGCGACCTGTGGCCGGGCCGCACGCACCCCTTGTTGTGTTACCTTTTCCATTTTCAGCTGGTGGGCTTTTGAGACAGCTTCTCCAAGCCATCCCACGCATCACCACAGGGACTTTCTTTGCTGTACGGATTTCCTTCCTGCGCCATGCTGTGCTGTTCCTTGCTGCTTGTTTAAGCCCCTGTGTTCCTCAGTATGACACTCGTTGCCTCGGCATGCCACTGGTCATTATCCCCCATTCCAACACCAGGCGCCACGCTCCCTTCAGAGGCACAGCAGGCGGAGCAACAGCAGCAGCAGGAGCAGCAGGAGGAGCAGGAGCAGAACGAGTTGCAGCGGTGGGCGGCGGCAGTGGGGTGGGGCGAGATGATGGGGGCGTACTCTGTACTGCACACAGACGACAACACCGACCTGCACCTCTTCTCCCTGCACGTCACACGCGGGCTCGCCATCCTGGTATCGTACCACCTTCCCGCTCACTGTGCCTTGTCCCGGTCTCACCATCCTGGTACCATACTGTGCCACCACCTGCACTGCACTCGCTGCTGTGCCTCGCAATCCCCGCCGTCCTGCTGCATACATTCATTAAAAGCGTGGATTATTCTCAGTACTCGCCCATGCCTTCTCTTCTCCCCCGTCGCCTTTTCAGTGTCCCCCGTGCCACTTCCCTTCATTCCCCATTGGCCAATCCCCTCTCCTCGCTACCCCCATGCTCCCCACCCATTCCACACCTCCCCACCCAGGTCCTGTTGCTCTGTGCATATCTGGGCCCGTCCTTTCCTGCCTTTGCTCCCTCGCCCTGGCACGGGGTTTCACTAGCAGACCTGCCGCTGCCTCTGCTGCTCTACACCGTTGGACTCTCCCTCGCCCTCGCTTACACCGTGGGTGACGTGTTATGCACTGTACCTGCTTGAAAGCAATTCTTCTGCCCTCTGTCCTCGCATTCCACACACGTGCTGCCGTATCCTCACACTTCCAAACTTCACGTCTTCCGATCAATGCCTTATCTTCTCCATACGCAAGCCTTTTCGTCTAACTCTCTCTCCTACCCTCCCCTCTCCTCCCTCCCCCGCCATCACAGCAAGTACCCAGCGTGCTGGCAGCGAGCAACAAGGTGTATATCCGATTCTGCAAGATCTTCTACCTCGGATACTTCCTCCAAGGGGGCTTCCTGCACCCCATCGGTGACACCACCTTTGGTGTCTCTCTTGAGAACACCCGCTTCTGTGGCATGCTGCAGGTGATGTCCGTGCATGGGTGCATGGCTATGTGGGTGCATGGGTGCTGGGGTGCATGCATGAATGCATGGGTGTGCATGGGTGCATGGGTCCATGCCCCAACCATATCTCCTCTTCTCGCAACTCTTTAACAGCCTTCCATGTTTCCATGCAACTTCGCATGCCTATCTCATCACTCCATTTCCTCACCTGTCACCTCTTCGCATGCCTGCGCACCCGTGTGCAGCAAGTGGCAGCAGCGTTGCTGGTGGTGGGGGTGTCGGAGGTAGCAGTGATGAAGCTGTATCGAGGGGCGCGGCGACCACCAGGCGTGCACCACCATGCACTTGGCTTCCTTATCAACTGGTACGTGCCCACGCCCTGGCCTCGCCTGTTTGCTGCCCTCGCTGCTACCACAGCCCTGCTTGCCACCCTTCACTGCCGCGGCCTTAGCTGCACCCTTCTCACCATCGGGGAATGATGGTGCAGCGTATGAGCGTGCGGTGCAGCGTATGAGCGGGCGGTGCAGCGTATGAGCGGGCGGTGCAGCGTATGAGCGGGCGGTGCAGCGTATGAGCGGGCGGTGCAGCGTATGAGCGGGCGGTGCAGCGTATGAGCGGGCGGTGCAGCGTATGAGCGGGCGGTGCAGCGTATGAGCGGGCGGTGCAGCGTATGAGCGGGCGGTGCAGCGTATGAGCGGGCGGTGCAGCGTATGAGCGGGCGGTGCAGCGTATGAGCGTGCGGTGCAGCGTATGAGCGGGCGGTGCAGCGTATGAGTGGGCGGTGCAGCGTATGAGCGGGCGGTGCAGCGTATGAGCGTGCGGTGCAGCGTATGAGCGTGCGGTGCAGCGTATGAGCGGGCGGTGCAGCGTATGAGCGGGCGGTGCAGCGTATGAGCGGGCGGTGCAGCGTATGAGCAGGCGGTGCAGCGTATGAGCGTGCGGTGCAGCGTATGAGCGGGCGGTGCAGCGTATGAGCGGGCGGTGCAGCGTATGAGCGGGCGGTGCAGCGTATGAGCGGGCGGTGCAGCGTATGAGCGGGCGGTGCAGCGTATGAGCGGGCGGTGCAGCGTATGAGCGGGCGGTGCAGCGTATGAGCGTGCGGTGCAGCGTATGTGCGGGCGGTGCAGCGTATGAGCGGGCGGTGCAGCGTATGAGCGGGCGGTGCAGCGTATGAGCGTGCGGTGCAGCGTATGAGCGGGCGGTGCAGCGTATGAGCGGGCAGTGCAGCGTATGAGCGTGCGGTGCAGCGTATGAGCGGGCGGTGCAGCGTATGAGCGGGCGGTGCAGCGTATGAGCGTGGGGTGCAGCGTATGAGCGGGCGGTGCAGCGTATGAGCGGGCAGTGCAGCGTATGAGCGTGCGGTGCAGCGTATGAGCGGGCGGTGCAGCGTATGAGCGGGCGGTGCAGCGTATGAGTGTGCGGTGCAGCGTATGAGCGGGCAGCTGCTCTCCCCATGCTCCTCTCCCCTTTCCACCACCGGCCCCCATTCTCTCACTCGACCATTTTCTTCCGTCCTTACGGCTCCCATCCCCCTCCCCTCCCCTCAGGTGTGTGGCGCTGCTGCTGGTGCTGCTATACGCGTCCCTCTCCTACCTCCTCTTCGTGCCCTCCTACACGGTCTCCACCACCACAAGTATCCACAGCAACACCACCACCGTCACCACTGCCATCGCAACAACCACCCCCTCGTCACATCTCGCGGCGCTGCATCAGGATGGTCTGTGGGAAGGTGCAGGGGGGCAGCGGAGAGCGTTGCAGGGTGGCACGGAGGATGGTGGTGGTAGCTTGGCTGTGCATGTGAGTGGCGGCATTCACAGTGGATGGATTTGCAGAGTTGCCATTGAACCTGTTGCTCTGATGGTTCCTGTAACTCTTGCTTTCTGCAGGTATGCTCTTCATGCCCTTCGTTAGATGTCTATTCTCCTCTCGCTCTGCTCGTTCCTCCCCCACTTTCTCACGTTCCCACTCTTCCCGCTCTTCTCCCTTCCCCTCCCCCTCTCCCCCCCATCCACCCCATCACCATGTGCAGTGCGGTGTGAGGGGCAGTTTCGCTCCGGACTGCAATGCAGCAGGGTACATTGACCGAGTGCTCATGGGCCCCACCCACATGCTTTCCACGGCGCCCTTCCACTCGCTCCCTGTCAGTGCCTCTCATTCCTCTCATCTCACTCTTCCCATTTCCTGCTCTCACAAGTCCTTTCATGAACCATTTATCCACGCCATGCCTCACACGCCCATTAGTTTCCCTCCTCTGTCTCCCGTTCCTCATTCCCCCTTCCTCCTTTTCTCCTCTCCCTTCGCTCCTTTTCCGTCTCCTGACTCCCTTCCCTTCCTCCCTCTCTCCGTGCCATCACAGGAGTGCCAAAGCACGTCGCCGCCCCCCCCTGCGTGGTGCCAAGCACCCTTCGACCCCCAAGGGATTCTCAGGTACATCTGCCCAGGTACATCTGCCCAGGTACATCTGCCCAGGTTCATGTGTCCAGGTGCATGTGCCTCGCGCATCTCACCCGTCTCTACCCTGCCCCGTGTGTGCAGCACGGTGGGGGCGTGTCTGGTGGCCTTTGCAGGGCTGCACCACGGCCACCTCCTCACCTACTTCAATGTCAGCGCTCTCTTCCCTCCGTGCACACCTCTTCTCATGCGCTCCCCATGCATGCACACTGCACTCCACGCACACACACCAAGTTTTTTGTACACATGTATTGCACTGTTCACCACATTTCCCACTGAGGGTGAATATCTGTTGCACTCCTTTCCTCCTCCCCCTGCTTTCCATTCTCTGTCCTTCCTCCCCCTTGCGTCCCAACTTCGTCCTCCTTCCTGTCTCCTTCATTTCCTATTCCTCCCTCCACCTGCCGCCTCTCTGCCGCTCAGACTCACTCCTGGCGTATCTTCCGCTCGCTGCTCTTCGCAGCCGTGCTGCTCGCCACAGGAGTCACGCTGAGCATGCCAATGCCCCTGCGCCACTCTTCCCTGCCCTCATTCCTGCCGGAATCCATACTCTCAGGTACATCCCTGTCCTCCCATGTCGTTCTCTCAATCTTTCTCTCTTTCTCCACCTCCTGCCACTGCCGCTTCTCACCCACTTTTCTCTCTTTGGCATGAAGTTCTTATCCCTGTCACCGCTCGCGTGTTTCCCGACTAATTCACCTGTCTCACCTCACCTCGCCTTACCTCCCCTTTCCTCCTCCCACCTCACCTCACCTCCCCCCACCTCAACTCGTCTCCACACCACCCTTTTTATGCAGGCATGCCTTTCAATCCGCAGCTCTTCACCATCAGCTTTGCAGCAGTTGCTGCTGCAGTTTCCTGCTTCCTCTTCTCCTGCTTCTTCATACTCGTACGTGCTTCTTCATCCTCGTATGATCTCTTCTAATCTCACTCCATGCACTGTGGCTTGCCTTCTCACATCTCTCCTCATCTTCGGAACCTGTCCCATGATTTCCACATCTCTGACATGCCTCTCAGCATCTTCACCCCCCTCCCATCTCTCTCTTCCCGAGAAAGCACATCTATCAACATGCCACCCATGAATTGTCTACATCCTTTCACTACTCAAACTCCTGCTACCCCCTCACCACAGACTGACGTATACATGTCCGCGCGCCCATTCCTCGCGCCCATAGCATGGCTGGGGCGAAACCCTCTCTTTGTGCTCGTGCTGGGTGTGTGCCGCCTGCTGGATCTGCTGCTCGCAGGCTTCTATGTCAACAACGACCCTGCCAGTAACCTGGTGCGTGCCTAGCCTGTGTGGGGGAATTGGAATGAGGGACATGGGATAAGGGGAATGGCAATGGCGCTGGTGGGTTGTGTGCTTCGTGTTTCCTGCTGGGTGTGTGCCGCCTGCTGGACCTGCTGCTCGCTGGCTTCTACGTTAACAACGACCCTGCCAGCAACCTGGTGCACGCCTAGGCTGTGTGGGAAATCTGAACGAGGGACATGGGATACGGCGCTGGTGTGTTGGCTGCTTCGTGTATTCTGCTAGGCCACCTGCCCCCTTCCCGCTGTCCTCTGCCACCTGCCACCTACCACCTGCCAATCACCACTGTTAAGTGCTAGTAGATTCAGATTCCACAGCAACCTTGCCAGTTTGCTTGTCCTGCATCTGAGGACTGGGCGCTCGCAGTAGCGAGCCGTTTGCATCAGCACTCCTTGCTGCCTCCCTCCTACTCCATCCCTACTCCCATCATGTTTATACCTGTTCTTTCCTGTGCTCCTTCATGAAATTCCACCAACCCCAACCCCCTGGAAGCCGTCACTGCCATATGCATTCCTGGTTGGTGCATTCGGCAGTGATGTTTTGAGTCGACTCCAATCTTGTTCCTGCCTGTGCTCCTTCATAACCTCCCTTCAACCCCAACCCAACCCCAATTCCGTGGCAGCTCTCGCTGCCATACACATTTCTTGTTGGTGCACTGGGTAACGAGACTCTTGCCACTGCTGCAGCTACCATCCTGGGCTGCATCTTCTGGTGCTTAACTGCAGGGCTCACCGTGCGATACAAGCACATCTGGACCTTCTGATACTGCAACTGCGTAAACAAGCATCTTGCAAAACGTGTGTTGTGTATTCCTGATCATACAGATGTAATCTGCAAATGCATGCGGATGGCTAGGATACTGTATTAGTTTGTGCATGTTCAACTAACATGCGTATTACCGGTACGGTATTACTGGTATTAGACATACCGTACCGTACTATGCTGTAACTTTACATGCCATGTCAATCATTACCACGGGTGTTAACCAGGATTCGATTTACCCTACCGTTTGACAGTACATCAACCATCAAGCATCCACGTTACCGTATTGAAGTAGGTAACCGCTTGTGATTCATATCGACACGACCATACCATCCTTGATATTGGGGCTCGTCCGGGTTGACCCGGGACGGGAGGGCTGGAGCCTATTTCAAGCATTACATTTGTGGCTTTGCAAGGCTATGGTTGGGTTGACCCGGGACGGGAGGGCTGGAGCCTATTTCAAGCATTACATTTGTGGCTTTGCAAGGCTATGGTTGGAGTGACACCGATCCATTCCAGTGTCAATATTATTCACTTTCAGAGATTTCCACTGCAAAGCAACATGGTCCTTTCCTAGTTAGATACAGAATTCGCTCGCAAGCAATCCTCTTTCAATCTCTCCCAAGGTTGAAACACATGCAGATTGCATAAATAGACCGTGCAGAGAAAGTAGCCTACACTACAGTATCTCTCAAGGGCATACTCAATCTACAGCATAGAGCTACAGAGCGTTTATCTCATGTATACCCATGCCATGCTTTGTTTTCTCATCTGAACCTGCTGTCACGCACCTACCTAACCCCTCCCATTCTGTAAGCAGCTTCTCCCCCCTCCTGACACGTCCCTGCCCTGTCCCGTGTTTCACCTCCATTGTTCATGGCTGCTTCCCTGCATCCCCTCCATCCCCTGCCTGCTCCAGTACCACTGCATGCTGCTCACTCTGCTGCTGCTGCTGCTGCTCCTGCTTGCGCTGCTGCTTCTGCCGCAGCTTGCGCCGCAGGCGTTTGGCCTGCCTCTTGAGCATCCACTCGCGTGCCTCCTCTGCGCCCTGCACATCCCGCCGCATGTCCCGGTACGACTCGAACATGCGCCGCCGCCTCCTGGCTGCGCTGCGGTCCGCACGGTTGGTGCGCACGTACAGCGCCTGTGCTGCTGCCTCATTGCCCAGCTGCTGCTCCAACTCCGCTGCCACCTGCATGCACATCATGCCACGGATGAGGGGAAGAAGGGAGGGGAGCGGGAGGATGGTGAGTAGCTTGGGGTAAACCGTGCTGGGGACAGATGACATGGAGCAGAGGATAGGCAAAAGCAGAGTGGGCGTGCAGGTCGTGCCAACTTTTTATACGAGGGTGCTCAGCTGAGGGCAGTGCATGCATACAAGGGAGGGGCTGGGTACCGGGCAATACGATTGCATCCGCAAGCATGAATTAAAGATGCATTCGCAGAATGGGAGCAGCATTGTCTGGTGTGTCTCCAGCAGCCAGAGCAGCACAGCATACCTGCAGCACAGCAGCATTGTTGGGCTGCAGTGAGAGGGCGAGCGCCAGCAGTGCACGGGCCTTGAGAGCATTGCCCTGCTTCCGCTCCATCACTGCATATGCCTGGGAGGGATGATGGTGCGTGCAGGGGGCGATATAGAGGGAGAGGAGGGAGAGATGGAGAGTGAGAAGAAACAGGAGGGAGAGGAGTGGACACACTGGGGGATGCTGCCATGAGGAGGGGTATACTGAGTGACCGACAGAACCAGGGAATGTGGTGAAGAGTAGGAGGGGAGTCGATAATTGACGGAAGATGCGCAGGCATGAGGCGGACAGTGGAAAGGCGGAGGAGGCAGTGTGAGAGAGGAGCAGAGCAGAGACGCACCTGGAGTGCGGGCACGGAGGAGGGTGCTATCTGCAGGCAGCGGTCAAAGAGCGTGCGCGCCTGCGCCACATTGCCCGCCCTCTGTTCCATCACTGCCCATGACTGTGATGCCGAGAAAGGGTACGGGGGAGAGGCGAGTCAGCAACGGAAAGGAGGGGGAAGAGAGAGGGGGAGGAGAGGGGGAAACCGGGGTGAGAAGGCAGGATGTGGGAAGCTGGAGAGTGAGCGAGGTGCGGAGGAGCACGAAAGCTGATGTGAGATGAGAGGAGTGGGTTTATGGATGGAACAGAGGTGGTGGACTAACTGCGAGAACATGCATGAGAGGGCTATGAGGAAAGAACTGCATGCACATGCCACTCACAAGCATTCACATTCATCCACATTCGACAGAGCTAGGAAGGCGTGTGCGAGAGGGGTAGCAGGGCAGGGGACTGGGGTGCGACCTGCAGTGCGTATGAGCATTCCGGGTCAACGTTGAGGCAGCGTGTGAAGAGGTCTCGCGCTCGCTGCAATGACTGGGGTTGGGCCGACCCTAACCGAGCCTCCTCACATGCCCATGCCTGGCGTTGAGACATACCACGGTACGGTGAAGGGAGGAGAGAGGGGAGAGGAGGGGGAAGGCGGGCACATCGCATGAGGGCTTTAGGGAGGAGGATAAGAAAGGTGAAGGTGGAAGGGCCACAAACAGAACAGTTTAAGCATGGGATGGCCAGCAAAAGACATGGCATCAGATGCGTTAAACCTGTTTGCTCGCAAGCGTGGAAATGTGGACGTGAACGCACGTGCAGTGTGGGCAGTGAGGAGGGGTGCACGGAGAGAGCAGCAGTGAAGAGGTCTCTCATGCGATCCACACGCCCTGCCCGCGCCTCTGTCACCGCCCATGCCTGCCACACCACACCCCCCGCCCCACCAAACATGTTCACAGCAGGGCAGTGGTAAACGGATACAGAAAAGCTGAAGGCACTGAGAAGGAAAGAAAAGTGAACGAGCGATGGAGGAGAGTCGGAGCACTGGAGATGTTAAACATTGCAAAACAGGAGAGCTATTGAGGTACCCTTGATTATGATACCAACATATCAAGCCTCTACAAAGCACAGAGCAAGAGAGACAGTACGAGGAAAGGGCGCACCTGCCAGCAGGCAGCATCGGCAGGGTCAGCAGCAGCAGCGCGTTTGAAGAAGTGCCTTGCAGCAGAGAGGTGCCCCACAGCCGCCTCCAGCAGAGCACGTGCCTGCAGCACCACGGCGTTGCCTGGCTCCACGCGCTCGGCGCGCTGCAGCAGGTGGCGCGCTGCTGTGAAGTTGCCCACTCGCCGCTCCACCATGGCCCATGCGTGCAGCCCCACCACCACCGCCCCCACCTGCTGCTGCCCTGACCGCCTCTCCGCCTGCGAGAGATGACGAGGGTGAGGAAGAAAAGGATGCGGGAAGGGAAGAAAGCTAGGGCTTTTGAAGTGTGAGGTGCATTTTAGGGGGTGAAGTGCGTATTATATCACATACATGCAGACCCTGAAGGCCATAATTTTAAGTCACCAGTCACTGCACACCGCGCCGCCGACACATTTCACCCACCATGGTGATGATACTCACAACAGCAGGCAGGCAAAGGGACCTTAAGCGACCATGGTGCAAGCAAAGAGCGCAGTACCTTCCAGGCGACTTGCAGCGAGTGCTCAAAGAGGCGGCGGCTGGCAGCAATGCGGCCATCCAGGGCCTCCAGCATGCCCCACGCCTGCAGCGTGCGCACGTACTGCCTCCCCAGGTGCCCCCTCGCTTCAAAGCAGTGCGCACTGCGCTCGTACCACTGCCTCGCCGCCCCCGTGTTGCCTGCCATGGGCGGACGCGGGCCAGGGAGGCATGGAAGGATGGCGGAGGGCGGGGAGGAAAGCGGGGCGTGGAGAGGGAGAAGGGTGGAGTGTGGGAGAAGGGACAGGGTGGGTGGAGCATGAGCTTGTTTGTGCGTGGCCTGGTTTGTTAGTGAACCTCACGAGAATTATTAGCGTACCACATGCATGCATAAATACCGCGTGCATGCTACCACTGCATACAGCACAAGCATTGGTGTGCATGCACGACATGCAGGACTACGGACACAGAGGGCAAGCAGCGCACCTGCATGTCTCTCGAGCTGAGCCATGTGCACAAGCACGTTGGCGTTGCTGGGATGGCGCGCCAACAGCTGCCCACAGGGGGAACGACAGAGGGGAAACATGGCGCAAGCGGGGAGAGGCGGAGGGTGTGAGTGACAATGAGAGGAAGACGAGTGGGAGGAGAGGGACGACGGAGGAGAGAGGGGAGAAGCAGTACTGTCGCTCTATAGTAGCAGCAAGCGGGACGCTGGTGTCTGAAAAGGTGGATTCGAGTGTGGTTGATGCCCCGTCCTGCGCGCCCATGCCTGCCCCTGCCCTGCTCGCCCACCCATGCCTGCCCCTGCCCGCCCATGTTCACCCACCTCGTCCATCATATTCCGGGCTGCTGTGAGCCCTGCCCCGGACCTGCTCGCCATGTGCCGCCTCACCACCTTCAACACCCCCTCCACCGCTGCCATCTCCTCCTCCCCCTCCCCTTCCTCCAACGCTCCTGGTCCTTTTCCCTCTCCCTCCCTCTCCCACTCCCCCTCCCACCCGCCCGCTTGTTTCCCGGTCCCCCACCGCAACCACTCTCCTGCGTCCCTCTGTCCCCACCGGGTCACTTGCACCATCCGCACGCGCCCAACCTTCCCCACACCCCCTCCCTCTCCCCACGTGCTCTTCATCACTCCCCCTTGCACTCGCACCTGCCTCCCTTGCAACCTAGCCCTACCCCTCGCCTGCCCAACCCCCCCCTGCCTTCCCCTGCTGCCGTCCCCTCCCCTCTCCGCGCCCCTCTGCTGCTGCCCCCCTGCCGTCCCCCCTCGACCAGCCCCATCTGGGCGCACAAGGCTCAGCCTCACCAAATTCCCCTGCTTGCCCGCGCCTCTCCTGTCCCCCCCAAGCACCTCTTCCTCCCCCGCGCCGTCCGCGTTCCCCTCGGGCCAGGGCGCTTGGAAGGAGTCAAAGTACTGGGCGGTGGGGGAGGCGGGGGGGGAGGGGGAGGGGCTGCGGGAGGGAACAACGACCTCCCAATCAGAGTCCACACTGTCATCCCATGAAGACGGGGGAGTCGCGGGGGACTCGGGGGAGTCAGGGGAATCTGAAATATTGCCCTCAGCACCTGCCTTGCTAGCACCATCGACCGGACTGCTGCCACTGCTATCGCTCCTGCCTTCAACATCCTCTCTCTCCTCGTCACTGCCCTCACCCCACCCTCCGCCCCCTCCTCCCTCAAACCGCTCCCCTGTCACCCCCATCGCACGGCTATCCCACCCATCCCTGCCACGCCCGTCCCCTGCACCCCCATCTCCGCCCAACCCATCCACGTCCTCAGTGTTAGCAGTAGCAACAGCAGCCGCAGCAGCAGCAGCGCCATTGCTCTGAAACTGGCTGGAGCTCCTGAGCTGCTGTGATTGTGAACTGCCAGTAGTGCTGCTGCTGCTGCTGCTGTCGAGCGCCGCAGTGGTGCGGGCGGGGGTGAATGGCTTGGATAGGAGCGCTTGTGACGTTTGCTCCTGGGACTGGCGGTCAGCCTCCCTTAGGCTGTGCAGTGCACGCACCTGAGTAGGGCAACGGTGGGACAGAGAGGAGAGAGAGCGGGAGTGAGGGCGGGAGTAAGAGCGGGAGTACGAGCAGGAGTGTGGGCGGGAATGAGCGCGGGAGGGAGGGCGGGAGTGAGGGAGTGCTTCACCACCACACACAGGAATGCACCACACATTCCACACTCATGCATAAGCGACATGCACACACCCGTGAGCACACAGAAACACACACTACATACACTCAAGTCTCTCTTGCACACAGCGCCGCAGAGCACACATGAGCCAGCCCCATCACACACACCTGGCGTCTGAACGCAGCGAACTCCTTGGCGCAGATGCTGCCATCCATGTTCGCGTCCAGCAGCGCCACTAGCTCCTCCGCCGCCTCCCGCCCGCCCGCCCCGCCCTCGCCATCCCCCCCTGCAGGACTTGCCATGCCGGAGAGCTGACTGATGTCGTCCCCCGCGCCCAGCTGCTGCATGAACTGGCTCATCTCCTCCACACTGATCACCCCGTCGCCGTTCAGATCCAGCATTGCAAAGAAATGGTCATGGTCCTCCTCCTCCTCCTCCTCGTTCTCCTCCTCGTTCTCCTTGTTCTCTTCCGCTTCCTTTTTCTCGTCTTCCTCCTGCCCCTTCCCGCCCCCCTGCTTAACCTCCGTGTCCTGATTCGCCTTTCCAGTACTCTCCTGCCCTTTACTCCCCTGCTCTAGTTCCCCGTCGCCCTGCCTCCCCTCCAGCTCTCTCAACCGCACTGCATCCCACTCCGATCTCCCGACCTCCTCACTCTCGCCTCCCCTGCTCCAGCTCGGCCGCTCTCTGCCTACCCCCGCCGCCGCAGCAACGGCGTCAGACACGTCAGCGGCCACGTCAGCGTCAAGGGCGGCGCCCTGCGCGAGCTGCGCCATGGGGAAGCGCGGGCCCAGACCGAGGTCCGCCCTGCTGCCCGCCGCTGCCGCCGCCAGCAGCTCCATCACCCCCTTCAGCTGCTGCATCTGCGCTCCGCGCAGGGGAAGGGGGGAGAGAGCGTGAGGGAGCCGGGGAAGGAGCGGGGAAGGGGGGCGAGGGGGGGAATGGGAGGGTAGACTGAGACGAAGGAACGACAGGACGAACGAGAGGGGTTTGGATGGGTGAAGGGTGAGGGGAGGAGAGCACAGGCAGGCACTTTGGAAGACCATTGCAGTGTAAAAGGATCGGACCTGGGAGCTCGAAAGAAGGGGGGACGAGAGACTGAGGATCAGGGAGGGGTGGGAGGAGGGGGGGGAGGGGAGGGGAGGGGAGTGGAGGGGAATACGGGGGGAAGAGCAAGGGGATGCGCAAGGGCAGTCTCAGCTCTGCAGGGCAAGGCAAGGCAGGGCGTACCTGGTCCTGGCTCACTCTGCTCCCGCCCTTGTACAGCCCGTGCGCCGCCCCGCCCCTCACCGCCTCCTCCTCCATGCGCGCTGTGCGGATCTGCACCTCCACCACCCGCTCCTCCCCCTCGCCTCCCCCCTCCCCTTCCTCCCCTCTGCGCGCCTCGGCTTCCGCCTCTGCGAGCGCGCCTCTGAAGGGCAGTTTGAGCGCCATGTGCAGGCTCTGGTAGCCGTTGCCCTTGGGGCGCGCGATGTAATCCTTCATGCGCGCCGCGTCCTCCCGCCACTCTTGCAACAGCAGCTCCCGCACCCGGTAACACGCCTCCGCCGCCTCCCTTTCCGCCTCTTCCTCCTCCCCCTCCCCCAGCGGACTCCCTTCCCCCGCAGCTCCCCTCGCCCCGCCCGCCTCCCTCGCGTTCTCCCCTTCCGCGCCACCAGCGCGCGCGCGGGGGGAGATCACGATGCGGAGGCCGAAGAGGTCGTTGACGCGCGTGCGGGGGCGGCCGTCGCGGAGCACTTTCTTCATCACGCTCCACATGCTCTTCACGCGCCCGCTCACCACCCACCCGCCCACCGCGCCCCGCAGCTGCGCGTCCCCCGCCAACACCTCCTCCACCCGCCTCCGCACCTCCCCCACCAGCCTCTCCCCGCCGCCCGGCCACTGCGCCGCCACCCACGCCTGGATGGACACGTATGACCGCGGGAACAGGTGGCGGAGCGCAGCGTCCTCCATCTGCCACGTCAGCGCGCCGATGCCGAGCGTGTGCGCGAGTGGGGCCCACACCTGGATCGCCTCTAGGGCCTCCGTCTGCTGACGCGGGGTCGCCTTTGGGGGGGGCGCAGGGGAAGGCGCGGGGGAGGTCGAGGCGGAGGGGGAGAGGGGCGGGGAGGGTGGCGCAAGCGGCGCGGAGAGGTGCTGCATGGCGTCGAGCTTTGCGGCGATCTGCAGCACGACGGCGCGCGGGTCGTGGAAGGCGAGCGCGAACTGGCGCGCGGCGGCGGCGGTGTCGTCGTCCAGCGCGCGCACGCGCTTGGGCAGGCGGTGCAGGCGCGCGCAGTCATGCAGCAGGCGCGCCACGGCGGGGGACACGTGCGCGTGCACGAGCGGCAAGGTGACGTGGCCGCGCTGCACTGGGTCGGACAACAACCCCGCTGCAATCACATCCGGCTCCATCTGGAGCAGAAAGGGGGAAGGGGGGAAGAGGGGAAAGGGGGGTGAGGGGAAGGGGGAGGGAGGGGGGAAGGGTGAGGAGAGAAGATTGGGGGTAAAGAGTGGCGTTGAAAACGGGACGAGCGGGGAATGGGGAGAAGCGAGGGGAGTGCGGATGCGAGCAGCAGAGAAGAGAGACATCAGGCTCTACTAAAGGGGAGGCGAAGTGGCAGGCGAACGCGAGCGCGTGTGCGAGGCGAGGTGGGGCACTGAGAGATCAATACCGGACTTTTGTGGCGGGCAGCGAAACGGAAAAGAATCGGGGGAAGACAGGGGGAAGAGAGGGAGAGAGAAAGCGAGAGAGAGGAAGAGGGCGAGCACTCACTCGCAAGTCAGCGAGTATGGCAGCAACAGCCACGCCTCGTGTGAACGCGTCTCTGCCGTCCCCCCCTGACCCGCTCTCCTCATTCGCCACCCGAACCGTCTCGCGCCGCCACACCTGCCCGGCCTTGCCCCTTCCTCGCTCTTCCTGCTGCTGCTGCGCCATCAGCGCGAGCCTCAGCGCCGCCAGGACCGTCTGCACGCCGCCACCTCCCGCTGCGCTTCCTGGTGCTCCCGCTCTGCCGTCAGCGGAGGGCGGGAGGCGCGAGGCGATGGCGTCCCACGCGGCAACCATGGCTACCATGCGCTTCGTGCCGCTCGTCTCCGCGCGCGACAGCCGCGACAGTGACAGCAGCGTTGCGGAAAGAGACGGCGCCGCGCCTTGGGCTGGCGCGGGACCCGGTCTCGCCGCCGCGGACGGCGCGGTGGGCGCGCCGAGGAGGCGGGGGGCCTGACTCGCGGACGGAGGTGCGCGCACCCGGCCTCGACTCCGGCGGGATGCGGACGAGGTAGAATTGGGTTCTGGTGGCGGGAAGGAGCTCCAGCTCGCGCCCTGCCATGGGAGCAGCGCAAGTGCGGGCAATGAGACGCATTCTAACACGTGCTCGTTACTCCTTAATGATAACGGCAAGGCCGAATGACCTCACACTTCAAATCTCGCCGCTAGTTTCGTGCGGGACCGATGCTGGTCGGGACAAATGGAGGAGAGGGGGATGAATGAGGGAATGGAGTGGAGAAGCGAAATGCACTCACTTGTGACGGCGGATCTAATGCGGCGTAACCTACGTCCCTTAATTCTTCCGCCTTGTGCGAAAGCGGTCAGAGCCACCACCCGACAAACCCCCACCGCCGCACTCACCGCTGATCGCACGTCCATCGCGGACGGCGCCTCCGCCTGCGGCGGTTGCGAAGACGCTGATCCTAGCACCGGCCGGACTACATCGACGTCCGCATTGCACGCCGCTTCCGACGCTTCTACCACGCGGGCCCTCAGCTGATCCTGCTCGTCGGAAATTCGCCGAATCGCCTCTTCCACCTCATCGTAACTCCGCTCTGCCGCGCGCGCGTCATCGGCGGAGCCTTGCGGAAGCGCGGGTACTCGCGACCAGCATTTGGGACCGCCGGCTAGTGGCGAAGGCGATTTGAGGGACGGTGGAAATGTGGGACGGGGTCCGTGGGGAAGGGACCCTGGCAATGCGGACGAGCGATTGAGCTTAGCGATAGATGCCTTATTCCGATGCGTAGGAGGCGGCGTGGAGAGGAGAGACGAAGTTAGAGCCTCCATGGACTAGGGTAAAGCCTGTGTGGGCCTAGGTAAGAAATTAATCAGTCATGGATGTGGGCGAAGTGGGGTGTGGGGGGAGTGAGAGTGACTGGGAAAATCAGTGCCTAGAGATTTGTGTCCGCGAGTGGTAACTAACTCTGCTGTGGCGAAGAGATTTCCCGTCGTCGCTTATGGCAAGTAACCAAACTCTGAGCACGGCTCTTGGGTTCTTCTCGCCCTTCCCCCAACCCCTCTCGCAATCAGCTCAAGGCCTCTCAGACCGCCACGTCAGTGCGCATGAACTATTCCACGTCATCCTCTACTGGGGTCAGTTCATCCCCTCCAAGAACACCACCACCGTGGTGGGGATTGCACGGATGAAGGTGAACTTTGCGGGGTCTACCTCCCTTAGACATACTGGCGCTGTTCTGTAGGCGTAAAATTTTCAGAAAACTGGGTCTGCAGAATCTTCGCTGATAAGTGGTCTTCTGCACATCAAGGTTTGGTGATAAGAAAGGCCCTGCCGAACCTGTTTGCGCCAAGTTTAACGCTTCAGCCTGCAGAACGCCACTTTTGGGGCGCACGAATTTAACCGTCTGCAGGCTCGAAGTTGTTGCTTCGCCGGGCAAATGGTCGCACAACTAGTGCGGTGCTAATTCTACCTCGGGAGCTAGCGTCAGCCTCCGCACATGTTATGCGAGGCAGCAACATCCGCGCGACGCAACCAGCATGAATGCGCCTAGAAAATGCACGGAAGGCTACCGCGGTCAAATTGGTGCGGAACCCTAAACGCCTGCAGAACAACGCCACTGCTGCAAGCTAACGATGAGATACACCAGAAAGGATGGAAAGTTACCAAGGCGCATTACCAGATGTTATGAGTTGTGAAAGGAAGAGTGCGCAGAACTCAATAATGCGGAAGTGATTACAACGTCTGAGAACACAACGAGGCCCAGGACTAATATAGCGAAGCTAGCTAGGCCGAGGTCGCGGGGTCGCGAGATGGTTGGGTGCAGGTTTGGGGTTGGGAAACCCGAAAGCGACGCGGTAGTGGCTCGGAAGGCGAGGTCGGCGGACCGAGCCTGGTTTTCCGAAAATCGGGGTTGTACGCGTACAGTGTGACCCAGTAAGGAATCCGAAAAATTCCTTACACTACCCCCCCCCCTTAAGAAAGGTGGTGAATATCCGAGACACCTCGGCGGGCCAGGTAAGCATCCACAACCGGATGTCCCAGGAGCGAGTCAGCAGCGACATACGTGTCGTCCTCGCTCGTGCGTTCTTTCCAGCGAAGCAGGAATTTCACTGAGCGGCCGGTGGCGGTCACGTCCACGCGATGGTTGAGAATCTTCCAAGGTTCCAGCGTGGGCTCTGCCACGGGGCGTGTGGTCGGCGTGATGGTTGGCCGAGCAACAGCTGGCGACTGCGGCTGTTCGTAATGACGCAGCAGGCTGACGTGGAATGCGTCGTGTATTTTCCAGTCGTCGGGCAGCAGCAGCTTCGCGGTGACAGGTGTCATAATCTGGATGATACGAAATGGTCCCACGTATCGGGGCCGTAGTTTCGCGGGCTGCGGCAGTTTGAGATTCTTGGTGTCCAGGAGCACAACCTGCCCTGCGCGGAAGGGTAAATTCCGTCGATGTTTATCCGCCTGGCGACTGCTTTCGTGCGGGCGGTCTGCAGCTCCGTGACAAACTGCTGCGATCTTGGTACCGGGTTTTCCACAGTCGTTGAAGAGGGTACCACGGGGTCTATCCCGTAATTCAGGAAGAAGGGTGATTGTTGAGTCGTGGCCGACGGGGCGTTGTTGTATGCGAATTCCAGCATCGGCAGTGAATCTTCCCATTTGCGAATGTCGGGGCAGTTGGTGCGAATCAGTTGCTCCATGGTCTGATTTGTCCGTTCCGTCTGTCCGTCGGTTTGCGGGTGGTATGACGACGAAAACTGCAGGCGGGTACCATACTGTGCCCACGTCTCCTGCCAGAACTTCGACGTAAATTTCGGGTCACGATCGCTGATGATCGCCGAAGGTAACCCGTGTAAGCGTACGACGGTGGAGATGAACAGTTTGGCTGTATCTTCGGCTGTGATCGTCGTTCGGCATGGGGCGAAATGCGCCATTTTCGTTAGGCGATCGACGACGACCATTACCGAGTCGTTGCCACTCGTGCCAGCTGGGAGCCCCGTGACGAAATACATTTTCACCTGTTGCCACGGTCGTTCGGGTGGCGCGAGGGGTTGCAGCAGTCCGGCTGGCCTTTGTCGCGACGACTTCATTGCTTGGCAGGTCGGGCAAGTTGACACGTAGCGCTGCACATCGGTGTGCATGCCCGGCCAGTAATAATTCCGCTGCAGCAGCTTCAGTGTTTTGTCAGTGCCGAAATGCCCGGAAAGGTTGGAGTCGTGAACCTCCTGCGTCAGCAGCTCCCGTAAAGGTCGGTATGCTGGTACCCAAATCCGGTTCGTACCGGCTTTTAGGTAGTACTTGCCGTGCGGTGTGGCGGCCTGTTGTTGCGGGTTCCGAAAAAAATTGTCGATCTTGTAGCCGTGGGTGAATAGTCCCGTCAGCATCGGGTTGGTGTGGGCGATTAGTACCGCCGCGTTTTGCATGGATGGCCTGGTGAGGGCGTCGGCGATGTTGTTGGCGCCTTTCTTGTACGTGATGGTGTACCGAAAATTGGACTCGAGAAAGTCCAACCACCGGATTTGTCGCGGGTTGAGTGTCGGTTGCGTGCGCATGTACTGTAGCGATTTGTGGTCGGTCCGAATTGTCACGTCGGCTCCCGTGAGATAGCAGCGCCAGGTACGAAATGCGTGGACGATGGCCAGCATCTCTTTGTCGTGGACTGGGTAGTTGCGCTCGGGTGGCTGCATCTTGCGTGACTCGTAGGCGATGGGTTGCAGCCCTTGGCCGAAGTCCTGTAGCAGGACGGCGCCGACGGCGAAATCGCTGGCGTCCGTGACGACTTCGAACGGTCGAGATGGGTCGGCGAGGCGGAGTATCGGGGGCGAACCCAAAATGTTTTTGAGGGCGTCGAAGGCAGACTGCTCCCTCTCCCCCCACCTGAAATCACTGTCGTGGTGCAGCAGGTCGGTCAGCGGCTTGGTTATTCCTGCCATATTAGGGACAAAACGGCGAACGTAGTTAACAAACCCCAGAAAACTTTGCAACTCAGGGATATTAGAAGGCGGCTTCCACTTAACGATGGCGTCCACTTTACGCGGGTCGATTTTGATTCCCTCGCCAGAAACCACATGCCCCAGAAATTCCAGTTCCGGCTTCAGAAACTCGCACTTAGACCCCTTCGTAATCAGCCGATGCCCCTGTAAACGCCGGAACACCTCCTCTAAATCCCGCAGATGGTCCTCTTTTGTCGCGCTGTACACCAGGATGTCGTCCAGATACACGATGACCTTCTTGTCCAGCATGTCCCGGAAAATGCCGTTCATTGTGAGCTGGAATGTTGAGGGCGTGTTTGTCAGTCCGAACGGCATCACCGTAAACTCGTAACTGCCGTAGCGTGTGCGAAAAGCTGTTTTCGGGCAGTCGTCGGCGAACACGCGAATTTGGTGGTAGCCTCCTCGCAGGTCGATTTTCGAGAAATACCGGGCTCCGCGAAGTTGATCCAGCAGATCGTCGGTTCGCGGGATCGGGTAACGCGATTTTATTGTGACCCGATTCAGCGCCCGATAATCAATGCACATGCGTAGGCCCCCGTCCTTCTTCGGTGTGAACAGTATCGGCGCTGCAAACGGCGACGTGCTTGCCCGGATAAATCCCTTGGCGAGCAGGTAATCCAGCTGGGCCCGCAACTCGGCGAGCTCTGGTTGGCTGAGCCGCCACTGTGTCTGAACAGTAGGTTGCGCGCCGGGCTCCAGCTGGATCCGATGATCCTCAGGTCGTTGGGGGGGCAAGCCGTCCGGGAGGTCGTCCGCGAAAATTTCGGGATACCTCCGAATAATGCTCGCCAATTCCTCGGGGACTGCTGCGCAGAGGGTGTCGATGTCCGCGATTTTCTCGGAAGCTGTCACCTCGTACAGGTGCACTAAGAAGGCTTGAGCTCCGCTGTTCATCATTCGCGCCATGTTGACCGCGTTGACACGTGTCGTCACCGGCTCCGGCTCCGTCCATTTCGGAAGCGTCGTCTTCCCTCCGTATCCTCGCACGACGCACGCCCCAGTCGTCCAGTCGATCGTCGGATTGAACCGCTGCAGCCAATCTCTTCCCAGTAGCACATCGCAGCCGTCCAACGTCGTCGCCAACATCTTCATGCCAAACCCGAATTTATCGCCACACTGTATCCGAATTCTTCGCGCCTCATCTCGGATGGCCAGTGGTGTCCCGTCCACCAGCCTTGCGTCAATCTCCGGCAGACACCTAGTCAGCTTTACCCCCATTTTTTTGGCCGTTGCCAGGTTGACGAGACTGTGGCTCGCCCCACCGTCAACGAATATTTTTATTTTATAACCGTTAACCCTCCCTACCACCAGCACAGGGTAGTCCACGTGTTCACCCACGTTATTCGTCCGGTTCTGGTCGATAGCTCTGATCGGTACCACGACCCGGTGTGGATGGTGATTGTCGGACGACAGGGTCTCGTCAGTAGGTGGCCCTTCTGCTACTGACTCGTATCTTTTCCCGACCCTTCTCCGTCGTTCTTCTTCCCCTGCTTAAGCCTCGGGCAATCTTTTTTCAGGTGGCCCAGCTGGTTGCATAAAAAGCACGGCCCAAGGGCACGGCTTGGTGCATCCACGCCGTTGATCGTGGGCTGCTGAGTCGATCCACGAAGTCGAGGGCCCTCCCGGGAGCTCGATCTCGCCCACTGCATCAGCGCATCCGTTGACTCGGCTTCTTGGACGGCGTCGTTGAAGCTGCGTGGCCGGGTTCTTCGGACCTCATACTGTATCTCGTATTTCAGGCCCGCCACGTAGCGATCCAACCGCTCCGCATCGCTCATGTCGTCCACTTGGTCCGCCAAGTTGCAGAACATGCTGGTGTAGTCTTGGACCGAAGTCAGCTGCTT